GGATTTTTTGACTCTGATTGATGATGGTATTTGTCCCTGTAATGCAATCAGTCTGCTCATTACTGACCTGGACTTTCTGACCCTAATTTTTGAAGAAAATCTGATTTTGCCACTTTGCTCCAGTCAGCGCTTGGGTCCATTCTTCGTTCTGACTATTGCATTGTTTTTATTTGCCTTTTGCGCAATTTTCTAAGTCTTTTGAAAATGGGGTTGCATAATGGTACCGAGAATACAGGACAGTGAGCTTGGTGTAGCCCAATGACGTCCACAATCACCTGGGCCTCATTTCTTAAGGCTGCTTATACCCATAAAGGGTTTCAGGATGCGTGTGCGTATCTTCCCATGGAAAACTGATGATTAATAATATGAAACGTGAGGAATGTAAACTCTAATTCATGCAAGCAGAGGTTTTTTGAAAAAGTGCATACCCAAGGCAAAGTAAAGAAATGCAAACAAACAACCTGCGTTATCCTTTTTAAGAAGTTCTTTTTCTAAAATTATCGTAATATCATTTTAATCTTTGAGGTTAATATCAATTTCTTTGCACTTTGTGATAGTCAGGAGACAAAGCAGTAACAATTAAAAGAATATATTCTATTTAATATTATAAGAACAATTAAAAGTCTGGTCATTCATAACTGTGTGGTTGTCATTAAGTTGCCTGCACTGTACATTTCATTAGAATTGAACCCCTCTTTAAACTCTTTTTCTGACTGGCTAGCAAAGAATGAGTCTAACTGATAACACAATCCAAGTAGAAATCAATTGCTGACCTTTACTTACACCTGCACTTAGACTGATCACTTTGGTTTTAACAAAATTGGTTATTTGGCACCATTTCAGGATTATGCTGCCAGTAAGAACAGTGAGTCTGTAGGGATCGGCTAGGATTTGCTGGCCCATGATGGTGACTGGCTATGAGTTGGTTGAGATTACTAAGAGCCATTATCATGGTACAGTGTCTAAACTGGGACAACAGTTAGAGATTAATGCATGAAACCGGGTCTTACTGGTCTTTGTGTAGTTTTGCATGACTCTACGGTTTTTGGTGACTGGCTGCTTCCACTACCAGCTATTGGACAAGTCACGGATATAGCCATCATGGCATGCACTCATTCCAACTGTGCTGAATGCTTTAATGAGACTGACCATTCTTTATGGTGGGTTTCCTTACAGCATGAATGAGTTGGCGAATATTAAAATTCTATGTGCAGCTTTTTCCAATTTACCCAACATAATTGGAACAATTCATATTGCAAAAAGCAATTCTTGTGTAAATGCATCTGCTTCCATCAGTTTCATTTTACAAAAGTACAAATTGTGTGCTACCAATATGGGGCTGACTGATAAAATTGCAGGCAGACTCTGAAAAACGTAAAGTAAATCTTTCAATCACAAAGAGAAGGGTATTCCTGAGATTAGAGTGCTCATAGTGAGGATAGCCATTATTCCACAAGATATTCATCTTTCTCAAATATAACACTGGCTCTTTCACACTATCATTATTATGCACTCCTTATAAATTAATACGCACATGAGTTGAGTACCAACTGTCAGAGGTTAAAATCTGTATCAAAATTGACTTGATTCTGTTTTTTTCTCATTGTTTGTTTATTTATTTATTTTTTAGGCGGAACAATGGGCATCATTCTGGATATACCAGCTTTTTACTCCATCGCTGCCTCATCTGCTGTGGCGATAATCTATACTCTTTTTGGAGGAATGTACGCTGTGGCCTACACTGATGTCATACAGCTGATGTTCATTTTTGTTAGTTTGGTAAGCTGCACCTTTTCAAAAGATATTCTCCAGTAAAAGTAGCATTAGCTTTGGCTTACTGGCAGTGCAAACTGGCTGTTTTGTCGAAAGAGACTGTCTGCCAATATTGTTATGCAGTGGTGGTCCGTCAGTGGTATCAAATCCATCGGTAACCTCACCTTTCAATGCTTAAAGTAAAAATACATTGATTTTCAACTTGGTAAAATTTTAGTTGAATACACCAAAAAACTCGTAAGTTGTATGAATATTCACATTTCTTCGTCAAAAATTACTCCTAGTAGTGTAAAAATCTGAAGGAAAGCTAGAAAATAATGCTGCTCAGATCATCTAGATTTCGCTCTGAAATTGGCCTGATTTTGAGTGACGTCACAGGTTGAACTGTGTAGCCCAGGTGCGTTCAATATGCAATGACTTCAGCCGCTCCCAAATTTCAACTAGCTATGCTTTGTTGAAAACAAACGAACAAACATACCAATGTCAAGCACTGTTGTAGCCCAGGTGCTTTCAATATGCAGAATGTTAAGTAGCGTTTCAAGAGTTTGCATGTTGAACGATACGTTTGCTCGATTTAGATTTTGCGGCGAGTCACCCCCTGGAGCCGTTTGCCTCTGCTAGGTAGCGTCACGAGCAAACATATCGTTCAACATGCGAACTCTTGAAATGCTTCGTAACATTCTGCATATTGAACGCGGTGCGAAATCAAACACTTCCATAGTCCACATAGTTCCTGATATCCAATATGAATAAAGCTGGGCACTACAGATTTTCATCATTGAAGAGTTAATAATGATTCTCAGTGATAGTTACTGTGAATGTCCTCCTGAAATGAGGAAAGTTAGGATGTTAAATACTTTGGCATGCAAGCTATTACAAAATAGATTTCGATGTCACTTTATCTTGATAGCTAGGTAGCCAAATAGCTCGCTCACGAGTATTCCATTGTATGCGAACTGCAGCCTTTTTAGCTCGCTAGCCAGCTATGTATATCACTTTAGTTTGCTAGCTAGGAAGCCAACTAGCTTGCTAGCGAGTATGACAGTGTACGCAAACTGTAGCCTTATTTTGTCGGCATAATTATTTCCAAGAATATTTCGTTACTGCGAGGGTGAATGGAAGGGTGACTTTTATCGATTATATTTCTTTTCTGGGCTTAGGTAGTGGTGTAAAAGTACTTTTATCATGTTCAGTATACCCTTAGCTCTTGATAGAGATATAATTTGACCTGCTTTAGGATTTTCAATGAGTGTCCGCTTTAACCAATTTACTTTGTCTGATTAACATCAGTTGCTAATTACTGGCGGTCAAATTTATTTTCAATAACATTATTATACATTGCCTCACAAAGTTACGAAGTATTTTCTACTCCACATCAATGGCCACATAAAATATCAACGTGTCTTTCGCAGATGGAGAATTCATGGAGTTTATTACACAGTGCACAGTTGCGTAAATTAGTATGCAAGGTACTAGTGGCCGTGCTATATTGTGAATTTAGTCATGGCTAAAGGGCGCTGGTAAGCCTGACACGCAGCTGTTGAAAAAATGCTGAAATGAGAGATAGAAATCTAGAAAATTTTGGACTTTTTTGCATTTATTCGGATTATTGCTTTCCATACAATCTTGCATCAATTATACAAGTGTGACCAATTGGCAATCACTCCATCATCATTTCTTAGTCATTATAGTCCATGTATTGGTCTTTATTATTCAGTGAATAAACAGTTTGATTGCTAATCAGGTGCAGTTAAATGGAAACCGCTTGAGAGCAATCTTGCAGTAAAAAGTGAGGTGACTGAAGGCCCTGTCAACATCTGACAGCAAACCAGTGTTGTTATTTGTTATAACTACAATCCCAATCCCAACAAAGTTGGTAGATTATGAAGAATCCAAATACAATGAAAAACAGGTGGTTTGTATCGTTTATTCGGCCTCCACTACATCGTAAACATTACATATTTTTACTTGTTTCAAATCTGATGACTGCAACAGACTGTGAAAAAGTTAGAGCGGGGCTAAATTAGAACTAATAATGATGTGACAAGCTGCAATAATAAGGTTACCTGAAACAAGCACTGTTAAATAGGAGAGCATATTGTATTACAGTATGAAAGGAGCCTTCAAAAAAGGCCTTGTCTCTGAAGAACAAAGATGGGTTCAGGCCAGGGTCACCAATTTGCCAACAGATGCATAAGCAAATAATCTATGACTTTGAAAAAAATGTTCCCCAAAAACAAATCGGCACCCTCTGCAGCGTGCAATATCATGAAAAGATGGAAGTCTCATGCATCTCAGTGCATAAAAAGGAGGGCCGAAAACTACCTCTGAATGTACGTAAATGATCTCCATTCCCTCAGATAACAAAGTCTTATGAACCATAATGCAGCTGTACTGGAAATTACAATTTGGGATTGGAAGCACTTTATTGAACCTCTGTCAGTCAACACCATTCGGCGCTGCATCCAAAGATGATAGGTAAAATGTAACTATGCAAAACCAAAGCCATAAATCAGCATTGTCCAAAACAGTTGCCAACCTCTCTAGGCTATGTCATCTGAGATGGATAGGTGCACAGTTGAAGCGTGTTTTTAGGTCAAAGAGTCAGCATTTAAAGTGTATTTTGGAAAAAGTATACTCTTTGGATCAAAGATGACAAAGAGAACCCAAGCTATCGGCATCTGGACTGAAAGCCAGCAGCTGTCATACAGTGTGCACATTGTAAAAAATAAAAAGCTGACCAATTTTCAAGAAGTAAGGCAAGCAGCTGCAAAGATTTTATGATTTGGCTCAACTTCAAGTTTAAAGTTCTTTCAAAAATGACTTTTTTGAAAAATGACAAAAATGACTCCAGTCCAGCTGGGACTGTAAGTTGAGCAAACTGAAAAATGCTTTGCTGCTGGTTGTTGTGCTTTTTTAAAGTTTTGCCAACTGTTTGTTTTTTACTGTAAATGCAGAAAGATATGTACGGATTTTGGGGCAGCATTTGCTGCCATTTAAGATAAGATAGAGATACACTTTATTGAACCCTGTGGGGTAATTCGTCCTCTGCATTTAACCGATCCTATAGTTAGGATATAACTAACTCCAGTTCTAAAGCCAGTTCCTTGGTCAGGGGTTCTGGTAGGAGTGTTCCTATAATGCATGTTTTTGCAGGTGGAGGAAACCAGAGTACCCAGAGGAAACCCACGCGAACACAGGGAGAACATGCAAACTCCACACAGAAAGGCCCCAGGCCAGATTCGAACCCACAATGTTATTGCTGTGAGGCAGTAGTGCTAACCACTGCGCCACCGTGCCACTCAAGATTAGATCAACTGTTCTAGGGACAGCCTTGCAGTTCCCAATAAGACAACCCAAAACCAAATTCTGCACTGTTTGCCAAGGCATGGCTACATAAGCAGAGAGTGTGGGTGTTAGATTGGCCTATTCACAGTCCTGCTCTGTCTGATTGAGAATGTATGATGCATCATAAAGCAAAATGCAGAACAGAGGCCTTAAACAACCGTTCAACTGAAAACTTGTCGAATGGAGAAATGAGGGAATAGTCTACTTGCTAGACATGAGCCACTGTTGTCTTCAGGGCCCAAAGGCTTAATTCTTTGTTTTCAAGCAACGTCACGACAATATGCAAATTAGCCAGATTATAGTGAAGGTGCAACAGCTAAAACGGGCATTACAATGACTATCAAATGCAATTAATCACTATTAAAATTAGTTATTAATTATTTATTAAAACTTTAATTGAAATATTACATTTCCTCACACGAGGCACCAAAATATGCAAAGGAATGTGCCTCTACGATACATGAAATGGCGTGGATGGATAATTATGACGTTTCATCCTAATAATCCTCCCCGCGGGATAATAATTTGGTTTAGTAATCAGTGTCATAAAATTATTATTATAACGACAAATATGAAATTTTAATTAATTAAATTAACCAATATTAATGAGTATATAAACAATAATTAAAGAATTTAATTCATAATCAAAAGGATTTCTGGAGTTCTACATATGCTATTTTGACTCAGACTCCCACGTTTTACAGCACCAAGACAGACACCAGGTTTAATAAATGAATGTATTAAACAAACAAAACAGAAAATACAGGGGCTAATCTATGCCAGGACTATATACTAACTATGAGAGAGTAACAATGGTTATGAGTGCGAGTTTGTGCGCGCGTGCGTGCGTGTGAGTGTGCGTGCGTGCGCGCATATGGGCATGTGCAGGCGCGTTTCTGTGCACCTGGCAGACGCGCATGTGCTCGTGGGCACGTGTTCCTTTGTTTTGGGACAAAGTGAGAACGGCAGTGCGCGGGATTAATTTATAAATGTACAGGAGGGCCGATGCTCGGCTGGATAACTCAATTTAGCTTCAATGAATTGCCGAGAGGAGAAGTTAGCTTCAGCTCTTATGCAATTTGTTTTACTGAGTTATCATCCATACTACGGCATGCATTTTAGTTTATTGCAGCGTTAGAAAGTAAGCCAGTGGGAGAAAGATTACCCATGTAGAGATACACGATCAGTGAATGGTTAATGAAATCCATTAAGTATGAAAACGGACACAACGCGATTATACATGTACATTAGAGAGGGTCAAACCGAAATGCTATACAATCTCAGAGAAAGAAAGCTTAGCAGTGAAACCGCCTGGAAGGCAACAGTCTTTCTTACAGAAATTAATATAGCCTTGGTCATCTCTCATGATCCGTTGAACAGAGCAGTCCTGGCGTGGATGTCTTGCAGGGATGTGCGGATCCGAGGTCTTGTGTGGAGTTCGGCGGCAATGCGCAGATCCGGTCCCGTGTCTACTTGGAGTTGCAATGCTGCTCTGTTTGTTGTGTCGGTTGGTGAGAGCAATGTCCTTGTTTAATCGGAAAAGTTATTTGACGGAGTTGTTCCGTGATTAACTAGCAGTAGCGCCCGGCATCAGCTAGTTAAATGAGACTTTCAGTCCTGAACTTAAAGAGTTAAAAAGTTGTGAGTGCTCTGGGGTAGGCCAAATGGAACCGCACAGGGTGCGTGAATTCCAGCGCAAGTGCCGTCCTTGCGCTTAAATAGAGCAGGCCAAGAGAGAGTGTGGCTTCCCTGGTGGGGAGTCGAGCCTAGAGAGCGTAACCACCCCGGACGGAGTTGAGGCAAGAGTGAGTGTGGCTTCCCTGGTAGGGAGTCCCGAGCGTGATCACCTCGGGTGGAGTCCAGCCAAGAGAGAGAGAAAACTGGGTGGGGTCCTTGTTTTACTGCCCGTTTTATTGCTTTTGGGCTCATTGTATTGGGAAACGTAAAATGCACATCAGGCAGGGGGTGGTGCTGTAGACATCATTTCAGTTTCCAGTGGACTGCATGGTAAATGTAGATCTGTTGTCCCTACAATAGCCTTCCACCATCTTGGTTGATATACAAACGCTCTTGACCCCCAAGTGACGCTAAATGGCACAACTGTGCTAAAATAATGCCTGATTTATGCGCTGTTCATGGCTGTGGTCATAATGCTGCAAGAAACAAAGCACCCCACGTCGCACTGACATCGGTATCAGAGGGGAAGATGAGCTTTTAATCGCATTTCATTTTCAAAAGTAAGAGGAATGTAGGGTGGAGAGTGACAGAAACATATTAAATCTTTAACCCCTTTGTGCAGAAGCCAAATATGGCTATTTATGCATTTCCCTATTTCACGCTTTATAATTCAAGATTTAAGCTTCACAGAGAGAGGGAATATGGCTCAACTGAGACACTTGCAGCATCTAGAATTCCATCATATTTCAGTTTATTTTCATGAGTTTGGTAGAGAAAAGGTAGCCTGACTCCGCCAGCCTTCGTACTTCCGCTTAGTTTCATTTCGCTTCAGTACTCAGCCTGATCACTCGGAGCTCTGCCTCGTTTACCATCTGCAGAAAATTGTTTATAATTGTAGTCTCCAAAATCAACAATGGCTACGGACATAGATACATTGGAGGCCATTCGCTCTGTCATGGAGAAAATCCCGGGTATCAGCGACTTATAGCCACAACAAGATGAATGTTTGGTTAGTTTTTTTGAATGGAAATGATGTAGCGCTACTCCCTACAGATTGTCATATCTACTTAATAGCCATCATGAAATAGGCACCCTGTTCATCTCTGTGAAAGACAGCCGAACCACCTCAGCTAGCTTGTAGCTTCTAGTGTTACACTGCCTGCGAATTTCACACTATTTAAGTTAGCAGCGAACTTTTCAAAAGTCGTGTTTTTGTTCATGTCACAAGACCAATTCGCTGTCTCAGTGTTATGTTGTCATTATAAATGAATGAAATGGCTGTCTGTGACAGCCAAACGCTTAGAGCCAAACTGTGTTGCTATAAAGTTAGATAGCGAGCTGGGTATGATTTTAGTGCAAGTATGGCTAACGGTTCAGTTTTCATGTCAACGCAGATTTCGTCCTGATGTAAAAAATGCATTATTCTCGCCGATTCTGCCGTTGGTTTTGGGTCTCTTACGTTTTTTTTTAACAGCAGCAAAATCTGCAGGAAAAACGATAGCTCAACAGTTTGTTTCTTGTAAGGAGAACAGGAAGAGCACCTTTGGTTCTTTTAAGTGAATGAGTGAAGGCTAAAATTTGGAAAATGGGCATATGTATGGGTATAGTATTAACTTTAATGTACTGATCAGTTTGTTTTTGCTGCATTCCTGGTATGAAGGAGTGTAGTTTCCAGCGGAAGTACTAGGCGGCTGAGCCGGCGCATAACATACGTCATCGCGAAACGTAAGTGATTAGTTTACGGGTACACCAATGATTTTAAACTTCTGACAAGCGTCCACCCACCAGGAAGTAAACACTTGTCAATGACGACTACCCAGACTCCGTGTACGAAGCAAAGCGAAGTAGCAGAGTCTGGTTTTACCAGGCTAGAGAAAAGGGGCTGCAAACATAAAAAATCTTCATCAAAATTCAGCATTGAAATTGTAAAAGAAATAATTCTGAGGATTAAAAAATGGCTGGGGGTCAAAACAATACATTTCTGGGATCATAAACTCCATGACCACAAGTACTCATCATCTGAGCGTTAAATACTAAATTATCCACTCCTTAGAAGCCAAATAAGATAGCTCTCCAGGTGGCTCCCCAAACTCCCAGAGCCCTCAAAATGGCACACTGTCAAATCATAAAATAATCATATTTTTAATGCAAATCAACTTTGGACTCATGAAATTAAATATGAATTAATGATTTTCTGGTTGAATTTAGCATGAATTTATCAATGTAGGCACAGCTGGACATCAATAGTCACCAGTAACCTCTCCAAACAAAAAACATGCATAACTGCTGGGTTTGTTGATAGTGCTCAATCAGCGGTCACAGCATGAAAACACAGATCTTGAAATGCATGAAATGCCTCAGCCTTTTCTTGTCTAAGTCGCATTTGCATTATGTCCACCTTGCAGCTTCAAACACAGCCAGGTAGAGCGGAGGCAGAGAAAAGTTTGTAAGGTGTATTTTACCAGGTCCATTATGGTAAGGGGTGTGACATTTCTGACATATGCCCTAAGCAATCGGCCAGTCTTTGCAGAATGGGCTTTAAAGGAGGGGGCCTGTTTCAGGGAGGCTGAGGTGTGGCACACATAGCTTGTACAGCTGTAACTTGGAGCTTTTTGACCGTAAAACATGCAACCATATATAAAAGACCACAAAATGAAAATATTAAACTGCGAAATGGGCATAATATGGCCAATTTAATTGTTTCAGATCTTCAAATTAAATTTAATATCAAAGAAGCAACCTATGTACATGAACATAAAAAACATGTTTTAAAATTAGTACTACATTTATTTACAAAAAGTTATTCAACACCAGTTGCCCAGACAAAAATGCAATTCCCCTTTAGTAACACAATGGGCAGTTCAATCAGGAGAGACTCGAGTGAAATCAAGAAAAATTTTAATATGCGTTGAGCATAAGTAGAATTCAATTCAATTCAATTTTATTTATATAGCACTTTACATAGAGAAAAGGGCAGAGCCTAGACTAATCCCTAATCCCCGAATAGCAGGCAAAAAACTCCCTGTAGGGAGAAGAAGCCTCGAACGGTGGTGAGAAAAAACTCCTCATCGAGAAGAAATCTCAGGAGAAACCTGGCTATTCTGGGGAAGCCCATCCTCCGCTGGCTGAATAATAAATTGATGGTAAATTAGGGATGAGAGGATCAGGACAGCAGGAATTAACATGCTTAAAATCAGACAAGTCTTTGGCGCTTGGACTCTTCAGGAAGACTCGTAGAGCAGGAGCACGGCTGAGAGCAGCAGCTGAAAAAATCC